AATAGAATAGAATAGAATAGAATAGAATAGAATAGAATAGAATAGAAACAGTCTTTATTGTCCCACGGATGGGAAATCCAAGTGTAACAGCAGCAACAGATAAAAAGATTTCACACAAAAGTTCCTAAATGTTAATAAACAATACAATATATAAAGAAATAAGATAAACAATATCAATAATAATGTTCAATATGTGTTTGAACATTGATAAGGACAGACTATTTACAATCCAGTAGTATAGGCAGAGTGTGTGTTTGAGCAGAGGTCAGCATGTATTTAATCCTTACTGGGTTTGTTGGGAGCAGTGATGGTTGTAGAGTCTAGCAGCTGCTGGGAGGAAGGACCTGCGGTAACGCTCCTTTGTGCATTTAGGAGCAGGAATCTGTCTCTGAACGAGCTCTCCAGCTCAGCACACCTGATGTCAAGAAACTGACATTGTATGGGCTCAAAAACACATAAAAATAGTTTTGTGCCCAGATGGAGGGAAATAATCTGAACATGCTGTGTGGACATGAGACTGTACAGCAGTGGTTACTATCCCAGTGAACCGATAATGTGGTTTGGCGGTACGTTTAGACATTTGGAGTATGTTTGGACAGGTCTTGCTCCCTGGGTGCTGTCTCAGGTTACGGATGCTTCTAAAGTACGACGTGACCCCTACCAAACTCCACCAGGCAATGCTGTCTTATTCAGATTATTGTCTGTATTAGAGAAACCTTCAGTCACTGATTTGACCGGCTGTCAAATGCTTTGGCAACTACCTGATAACATCACTCTACTCATGATGTCATATGCTCTCTGGTGCTTGTTTTAAATGTGCCATGTTCTATCAAATCAAGTCATTTACACACACATGACTGGTGTGCATGTGGGCCAAATTAAACTAGTCCTTTTGAGGGTTTAAAGGCTTTTAATGTAAATGAAAACAGTCTGCATAATAATTTTCATCGTTCTCATTCAGGAATTTTTAGCAGCTTGTTTGAAATTGTACTGTTTATGTAAATTGTGATACTTATCTCTGCAGCTTCTCCAATTTGTCTCAGACTTGCCACATTTTTACCATGACATTTTAAATCTCATATGGCAGCACGATGGATCAGTAGTTAGCACTGTTGCCTCACAGCAAGAAGGTACTGAGTTCAATCCCCTGTTGGACCCGGGGTCTTTCTGTGTGGAGTTTGCATGTTCTTCTCATGCTTGCGTGTGTTTTCTCCGAGTACTCCTGTTTCCTCCCACAGACCAAAAACATGCATGTTAGGCTGCCTTCAGGCTAAAGAGATCTGTGATCTCAATGAGATTTACCTGGTTAAATAAAGATGAATAAATAAATATATTTAGCTCTACTGGCAGATTCTGTCATTGACCAGCGGCTGTATTTCTACAAGGAACAACAGTTTGCAACAAATCAGTAACCCTTCGCTTCAGCTGGATTACAGCTGGTCTGAAATGAGCTCAAAGTGACGCAGACAGCTGGCAGAACATTTCCAGTGGAGCAGGAACCTGACTGTGACTACACGTTTGCAAAAGTCACATTATTTTGTTGTAAATGCAAACACATGATTCCTGTTTCTGTCCCACCGTTTGTCCAATAAATACCAGCATGACGTGACAAAGAACTGTCCATTACTGAAACATAAAGCAATTACTGAAGGAACTGATTGGATTTTCAAATTAAAATGGCCACCACTGTCAACTGACTTTAAAATACACAAATAACTAAAACTGGGTCAATTTCATAGATCTCCTTCTTTTAGCTGCTCTCTTCTTCAGGGGTCACCGCAGTGAACCAACTCACACGAAGACATGGCCGACACAACCACAGACCACCGAGCTACCACAGCCCTCTGAGTGGAGCAGAGAGCTGCCATCTAGGGCACCTGAGGAGCAGATGGTGAGGGTTAAGTGCCTTGCTCAAGGGCCCAGAGTGGGGCAAATGAGGGTGGAGGCAGGTGTGGGTGGTTCACCTTTTCCACCCACATTTTGATATTGTAGGTCTGGGACTTGAACCTTTGACCTTCCCATCACAGGTCCACCTTCTCTAACCTCTGCGCCACCACTCCCATGTCAATTTTATAGATACTGAGCTAAAATTTTGAGTGTTAGTAGCTAAGAGTTGTCTCCATAAAATGCTCTTAGCTCCACATCTTTGCTTAAAACTTTAGCATTAACCGTTGGAGTCTGCCTTGTTGGTCTGTTAGCAAAATATCTTCTAAACCAATGGATGGATTTTAATGAAACTCTACAACTGAATAACTTTTAGTGTCAATCCAATTTAAGATGGCTTCCACAGATAATTGGTTTTAGTCAACACATAAATGGCTATAACTCAGTCATTTTTGCAGATGGTGTGGTAGTAGCTGAGAATCATTCACGACACATACTCTGAGTGCTGACAGAGCTCATGAGAACTCGCCATGATTTGTGAAACAGAACGCAATAGTATCAAAGTTTGACTAAACTGTCTGTAACTGTGTCATTTCAAGCACAAGATAGTTTTGTCCCCGGCCAAAGAGCAGAAAGGAGGAACTGGAAATCTCCTCCATTCGTCCGTGCACGTTGAGAGCATGATCACGTTGAAAGTACGTGACGTACAGATCTCCATTTTGGTGTGTGGCTGCATCAAGACGAAAGAAAGGTTTCTTTTGGTAACCGGGTTGTCACGTCAAATTTCAAGATGGTCACCAACATACATACATATACACATATATATATAATACATATATATCTAATAAATACATATCTAATAAATAAATTATATATATATATATATATAT